CAAGATAGCACAAAGCAGAGGGGATGACAAGGAAAGAACAGTGGAAGCAATGATACACTACAGATGTACCAAAGGATGAGACAAAGGTTGGTCTCCCTGGTACAGAGGTTCATGGGAACCCCCCCTGCCCCTGGATGTGGGAAACCCTGTGTTTATGTGGTGGGCTTTTTCCCGCGTTAGGTTCCCGGGGAGGGGAAGGATCCTGGGAGGGGACATTGTATGCTGTGTGTTACACCCCTTGCATGGGGTTATGCTTAAAAGCAGTGTGTGGCCAAAAAAGTGTTGTTGTACTTTAGAACTGTGTGTCGTCCAGTTACTGGAGGGGAAATGGGTCTCTTTATATCCTAAATGGTTCCATTTCAGCTCAAGGAAGAGAAATAGAGGAGGTAACCTGTCGGGTTACCAGGTGTTCCACTTCAGGTACAAAGGAATGTTTTATTATGTCCAAGTGGCCTGTTTATATACACAGTCCCCCAGCACGGGGTTTCCAGCAAAACCATAGGTAACACCCGCCCAGGCGTCTCTGTGTCTGGGAGATAAGTGGTAATTTAAACTAATTATCTCCCATGCACTAGAGGTACAATAAATAAAATATAAAACACCCCAAAACACACACAATATTAATAGGAACCCCCACAAGTCTTATGTCCCCAGATAGCCCGGATCTGAACACCCAAGTTGTCCAAATAGCGCTCAGTTCCCGAAAATACAACCGAATTGCCATCGGGGTAAAGTTTTGACAGACCACACACATGGCGGCTGCCCAAATTAGTTCCATAAGAAAAGTGGTAGAGGTCAGTCAGCCTTCGGGAGTTCCTACACGAAATTAAACGAATGGTTCATAAAGTGTGAATGGTAGAGTCTTTTCACCAAACAGTGCTCTCCTGGCTTGTCGGGAAAGGAAGCAGGTGGCGGTACCAAGTTACCAAGGTTCGTGGGTTAAAGTATCTATCCTTGAGTTCCAGGCAATCGACAACCTCAAACCGCTTCCTGTGTTCAGGGGACAAAATGGCTGCCATTTGCCAAAGCACATGTTTTCGGTTATACAAATGGTGGCCACCCAGAGAGAGCAATTGAGTTTGTGGTTTGTTTGAAGATAACGAGCCAGGAGGATGGTCTGTGTTTGGTAGATAAAAGTACCGAACCAAGGGGAACAACTTGGGCTTGGGAAAAATAAAAATAGTTTCAGGGCAGTTTGTCACAGCATATTTCATGGTTTATGAAGGTCTATTTCTTTTTATAAATATGCCAGTTTATAGAGAGGATAGAGGGGTGGTGTAATCCTTTAAAGAACCTGTTACCGGATTATTTTAGGAAATGTGTTGAGTGAACATTTGGTGAAAGGAGAGTGAATATATTCCTGTGATTAAGTGAAAATGTAATAGCCATTGTTACAATATTAATTCTGATTGTTTGACAGGTAGCCCTGCTAAAAGACTGTCAAGATATTCTGGACAGGGTACCTGGCAGACTAAAGGATCTGTCAGATGTTCTCCCAGGCAGGAGTCCGCATCTAGGCAGATTCTCATTAATGAGCCAGATCAGAAGACACAACCATGCCAGCAGTCAGAACAAAGAGACTGTTGGCTTTTCTTTTTCTTTTCACCAAACTACTTTAAATATTCTAAAAGGAGTGACTCGTCAAAAGAGAAGGAACCAAGATTATTTTGCCTTTTGAAATGTCCTCCTGGTCCATGGGAAGAATACTGGCTTACAATACCCTTACATTATCATCTTAAAAAATCAATAGACAAGATCTGGACTCCTTTCCCCATTGGTGACTTTCAATGTTTCTTTGGAATTACAGCTTTACCATTCCGAGGCTTGACCAGTGACCACTGCTCTCAGCTCAACATTTATTATGATCATCTGGAGTTTCCTGATGATTATTTTATTTTGTCAATCTTTGTTTTATTGAGGTTAAAACATCAGTTTACAATAGTCAGATTGAATGCGATGATAACAATAGTGTGAATTAGTTTTGCAACAATACATAGCATTCATTAGTGAGAACCTCTTTTATTTATTTTTTTTATTACGTTTGTTGGTCAGGTGGTGCGGGTTGAATAGATTTATATAAATGACACGTTGTATCTGGTGCAGATATCCTTTTGTTGGTGATACTGGCATATCATAATGGTGGGGGTAAACGTGCTACTCATAACCTTTGGGTCTGTCGAGTCTGTAAGCTATCTAATAAGGCAAGGGAATTATGGTTTGCGTGCACGCTAGTTGCTGGGCGCTGTGAGGAGTGGCATCTCTGTTATGGTGACAGGTATCTGCAGACTATGTGACTGGTTGGGTTAAAGACCCCTTTCCATGGGGGTTATGGGGAGGGTTGAGAAGGTTTGTTTAAGAACCTAGGGTTACATTTTAGCTAATGGAACTCTCCCGGGTCGAAGTAATCCCACTAACTTTGACTGTGGTCAGGTCTTGTTAGCAAAAACTGACCGCAATCTATAGGGTGTAAAGCAGGTGTGGGGTTAAACAAAGTGGGTGTATCAACAAGAAAACATGAATAACACATGTGAACATAAATGTGCTGCTCTTCAGGTAGCTCGGGTTGCCACTCCAGGCTTTTCCCTTCTTCCAGGTCGGAAAGGCTCCACTCGTGCAGGGTCCCTGATGTGTTTGGAGTGATCCCCAATGTTTGGAGGAAGGTAGTGGCATCTGTGAGGGAGGTGAGTCTCAGCACTCTAACGTCAGTAGTAGTAGATGCAAGGGATCTTGGTAAAGTTCAGTGGTATTCCACTTTGGCCTCTCGCAGCTGGCCTGTGACTTCTCCAAGAGACATCCTCCATTGCAGTGTATTCCTAGTTAAATCTTGGGAGAATGTGAGCTTGAATGTCTCAAATTTATATGGGGTTTTACCCCGCACTCCTGTCAGAATTAGTTTTTTGTCTGATAGAGAGTGACATCTTACTATAATGTCGCAGGTGGCCTCCGTTGGAGCTTGTCTGGATTTATTTATTCTGTAACAGCCGTCGATTATGAGCTTTTTTGCTTGAGAGTGCAGTAGGATTATTTCTGTCAAGCGCCGCAGGTAGTGTGGCAATTCGGCTGGGACACCTCAGATCTTAATGTTGGCGCGTCTGTTGCGGTCTTCAGCAATATCTACTCGCTGTGTCAGAGATGTGTGCGAGTGTTGCAGGCGTTGCATTTGTTCTTTCAGCCCCTGTATGTCTTGCTTAAGGTCTATGACCTCCTCTTCAGTGGCTTGTGTGCACACTGTCACTATCTGTACTTCTGTACTCTCTCAGTAGGTTAGCGATGTCTTGTTTAGTGGCACGGGCAAGTGGTTCTTTCTCTGCCATTTTTTCTAGCAGTGTCGTGGGAGAGGTTGTGTCCCCTGCTGTGATGGACCGCCTGGCACCCCGACCGCGTGCCTCCACCAACCGATGCTCCTAGTGCTCACCAAGGACTCCAAGCACTCCACCCAACACCATTAGCACTGTAGTCCCCACGTCCAGCTTGGCTGGGATCTCGCTTGGGGGCGCCTGAGTTTTGTCCTGGACCTCCTGACGAAAAGAACAATACAAATTTCACCAGAATCTGCCCTATTCCATTTAGGTTTAGACAACCTTGATTTTTCTAACAAAGCCTTGACAGTACAAATATTACTAGCAACAAAGATTGTAATAGCAAGGCAGTGGAAAAGTCAAGATGTAATACAATGGTCTAGGGCAGTGATGGCGAACCTTTTTGAGCCCGAGTGCCCAAACCGTAATACATGCCAATTTTTTTCCCCTCAAAGTGCCAAAACGGCAATTAAACCTGAATACTGAGGTTTAAGTTTAGAAAAAACAACTCATACAGTTGTCCGAACTAATTAACATCTCTGTGTGTGTATTAAGCAGTCTGTCTGTGTGTACTTAGCAGTCTGTCTGTATTTAGCAGTCTGTCTGTATTTAGCAGACTGCTGAATACACAAACAGACTGCTGAATACACACACAGACTGCTAAATACACACACACACACACACATACACAGACTGCCGAGTACACACACACACACAGACTGCTAAATACACACACACACACAGACTGCTGAGTACACACACACACATACTGCTGAGTGTACACACACAGACAGACTGCTGAGTGTACCCACACTGCATTGAGGGGTGCATTGTATGTGTTTGTGTGTGTGGGGTGATGTGTTTGTGTGTGTGTGGGTGGGTGGGGTGATGTGATGTGTGGGCAGGGTGATGTGTGGGTGTCTTTGTGTGGGGTGATATGTGTAGGGCAGGGGTGCTGTGTGTATGTCGTCCCCCCTCACCCCCCGTCCCACACTCAGTTTTCTCCCCCTATACCTCCCTCAGTTCCCCCCCATCTCTCCCTCAGTTTCCGTCCCATCTCTCCCACTCAGTTCCCCCTCCATATCTCTCCCACTCAGTTCCCCCCCCATATCTCTCCCTCAGTTCCGCCCCATCTCTCTCCCACTCAGTTTTAGCCCCCCATCTCTCTCCCACTCAGTTCCCCCTCCATGGCTCTCCTCAGTCCCCCCCCATAGCTCTCCCTCAGTTCCCCCCCCATAGCTCTCCCTCAGTTCCCCCTCCTTCCTCCTTCCTCCTTCCTCCTTGAGCTCCTACCTTGTAGCGTGGCCGAGCGCACCGCGGTACAGGAACTTATGTTTCCTGTACCCGGCTGACAGGAAGTGCTCTCTCTGTGAGTTTAAGTTCCTGTATCGCGGTGCGCTCGGCCACGCTACACAGAGTGCCTGGCAGGAGGGAGCGCTGTGCGCTCACCTCCTGCCGGTCACTGCGGCTTTGTGCCCGCCGGGCCGGTGCGCCCTAAGGCGGCCACTTGTGCCGCCTTATGGATGCGCCAGCGGAGCGCACCCTCCCTCCTTCCGGCGACCCATGGCCGCGTGCTTACGCGTGCCATAGGTTCGCCATCACTGTCCTAGAACTATAGGTTAAATTTGGAAGAACGAGTGTTTTACTTCTACTAACTTATTCTCACTGCACATTTGATTTAATTCAACAATTTGAAAGAATCAACAAAGGAAAAAGTGGCATATAATGCACATCAAAAAATATTTATTTAAGTAGATGATTCATCTTGCCAAAAGTCAACTAACAGTCATAACATTCTGTACAGAAAAATAACTGGAAGACCAGCCGGGAAATGCAGGATGAACCATAGATC